CTTCGCCGTGGTTACCGCCTCGTCGCTCATCTTCGTCGTCAACCTGCAGGTCAGAACAACGAAGCAACGTTGAGAATGAGAATGAGAGGCTGAGGACTGAATGAGCAGAGTAACGTCTGAACAAAACCATTTAGAAAAGAACTGAATAAGTTACTAACTAGCTACATTTCCTGGAGCTTAAATGGTTGATCATCTAATCAGTACTTAACTTTTCAGCAAATACTTTTTCCTTCTACTTGAGTAAATCATGCTGAAGTCGTTTCCCTCTGACTGGATTCAAATCTTTGGTTCTGTAAAGCTTCACAGGTTGAACCTTTGTTGGTAAGTCAGTTTCTAAATGCCAGATGTTCTGACCCGTCGACCCGTCTGCCTCCAGATCTCTCTGGACACGTCGTACTGGACCTTTGTCAGCTGTTTCGCCGTTCTGGGCAGCATCGCCATCTACTTCGGCATCATGTTTGACATCCACAGCGCCGGGATCCACGTCATCTTCCCCTCCGTCTTCACCTTCACAGGTCGGCTCCTCCGAGCCGCTCCGGTGTTCACTGAGGCCCGGTGTGTCTCCGAGTAACCACTGACCGTGTGTGTGTGTGTGTGTGTGTGTGTGTGTGTGTGTGTGTGTGTGTGTGTGTGTGTGTGTGTGTGTGTGTGTGTGTGTGTGTGTGTGTGTGTGTGTGTCTGCAGGCGCGGCGCCGAACGCTCTGCGCCAGCCGTACCTGTGGCTGACCATCATCCTGACGGTGGGGATCAGCCTGCTGCCCGTCATCTGCATCCAGTTCCTCCATAAAACCATCTGGCCGTCTGTCAGCGACAAGGTGAGACACAAAACCACAGACAAGTCAGTTACTGGCAGATTCTGGAAATACGGATTTTAATCTCAGTGTTTTTGGCATTAATGTCGTTTTAGAGCCGTTTGTATTTCAGTTCTGCGTCTCAGTTTTATGATTGGAAGGTCAAAAAACTCACAGTTTAATTAAACTTGTTGTGTAGGATAACGTTGTTTGTTTCAAACTTAGTGTATTTCATTATGACCTAGTAGGACCATTGTAGACTGAAAAACAAAATTTTAAAAATGAGAAAAATTTTGAGATTTGAGAATTTTCTAGAAAATTTGGAAATTTCTAATTTCAAGCAGCTAAACATTTGTGAGAAAAAAACTCACATTTTGAGATTTATTTCAGAAATGTCCATGTTTTCACTAGAAGATTTCTGAGATTGATCTTAATTTCCTGGTTTTTCTCTTGCAGATTTTTGACTTGAGGCTCAGAAAACAAATTTATTCTGGGAAATTTCTGGAAGCAATCTCAAACCTTTTTCTGTCTATATTTCTGTAAAAGCCATTCTAGTGTTTTTAAAAACTAATGGAAACATTTTTTCATACGACCGGACGTTACTACTGGCAGAAACAACAAAGGCAATAAACAGGAAGTGGAAGTGATGATGCGGCGTTATTTTAATTACTGAATAAATGGGATTTTAACTGTTTCTCATTCAGTGGAAAAACCAGATCTGCTTTTGTTTTGTATTTCCTTCCATCCTGTGGAAAATGTCCACTAACATTTTGCTGCGTTAGTTTGACGGTTCTGTTTGCGGTTCTGTTTGCGGTTCTGTTTGCCGTCCTGCAGGTCCAGAGGAACAAGAATAAGTACCTGCAGCAGGCGGAGGAGGAGAACAGGAGGAAGAAGGGCGAGCCTTCAGCCTTCGTGCGAAACCGAGCGTCCCGCCGCTCCGCCTACGCCTTCTCGCACACGCCCGGCTACGCCAACCTCATCTCCACCGGCCGCAGCATCCGGCGGCGCGCCACAGCGCACGGCGGCGCCGCCCAGGAGAGGAGGCGGCTCCCGGAGGCCGTCTGATCGGAGCCGACCGGAGCCACGCTGCAGCCGGAGGGTTTTGTTTCTGCGGATGAACCAGACAGGAAGTGACGGAGGAATCCCTCCTGGCTGAGCTTCGCTCCAACTGATGACTTGAAAACACTCACCGAAGAGACGGCCGCCGCTACCGGGGGTCAGAGGTCACCCGCGTGACTCACAATGTCGTTTAACTCAGGATTATTTTTAAATAGAGACTTTTTTTAGCAAGATGGCCGCCACCGACTGACACAAGGCCGTTAGCGGCGTAGCCTAGCATCCACTGAGCACTTAGAGGAAACCAGCAGCTGAGTTCTGCTGGTTCTGCTGGTTCTGTTCGTTGAGCCCAAACCACAAACCGTCACCATAAAAACTCTGATGAGGTTTTATTCAGTAGAGCTGGGATGCAAACTGCGCCAGGCCTTTCTTAGAAAGGCAACATTCGTCTTCATGAATGTGCTGAAAGGTTCTGTAAACTTGGTTCTGTAAACTTGGTTCTGTAAACTTGGTTCTGTAAACTTGGTTCTGTAAACTTGGTTCTGCTGCAGGAACTTTAAACTGATTTTCCATCAAACCTCATGTTTTACAGCTTTGCAGTGAAATTCTTCAGGGTTTCATTAAAATGACCTGATGCTTCTCTTACTGTCTTTGGTGAAAAATTGAATTTTAACTTTAACTATGTTCTTGTTGACTTGAAGGAAATGTGGAGTCTCTCTCTGCCTCGTGTTTCCTGGGCTCAGATGTTTCTTGTTTCCAGGTTTGTCTCACATTCTGGGACATTTTTAGCCAAACAGACGTTTCAGGTTCCGACTGTTACTGGATCCGACTGTTAACGGAGAGTCGACCTGCTAACAGCTTCTTATGTGATGCAGTTTTATCCTTTGGTTGTTAATAAAAGCCAGCGGCACATTTAGCAATCTGAGTGACGTTTCATTTGGGGTCTTTAAAAAGTAATGAAAAGGTCTGGACACATATTTATTTTCTGCTGTGATTTGATTTCATTAAAGGTTTATGTTTTGCAGCCTGGCTGCGTATTCTGGGTGTATTTAGAAATTTATTGTGAAGGAAACAATGAGAAGAATGATTTGTGTCCCTTATGGAGCTCCGTAGATGATTCTTCTAAAAATAAAAATACATTCACTTATTTTCTTTACATGTCTGATTGATGGAAAAGTTTATTTCCTTACATTTTACTTTAATGAACTTGGTTATAATGGGACGTTTTAGTTTGAATCACTTCTGAAAGCAAAAACAACTTAAGATCAAAGCATCAACTCTATAGAAAGAAACAAAAGTCTCATTATTTTTCTGTTTTTCTGTTGACATGAATCATTCAAACTGCAGGGGGCAGCAAAGAGTCAATGGTTTTACACAATAAGTCAACAGTATTTATTTTTGTTACTCTTGGCTGATGAAGCATTTAAATGTTTCTGCGTGTTTCCTGACGCCATCATTACGATGAGCAACACGTTGAAACGCAAACTTTACCAATCACTAACTAAACCATAAACTACTAAACCATAAACTAACTAAACTATAAACTAACTAAACCATAAACTAACTAAACTATAAACAACTAAACCATAAACTAACTAAACTATAAACTACTAAACCATAAACTAACTAAACCATAAACTACTAAACCATAAACTAACTAAACCATAAACTACTAAACCATAAACATCATCTGCACTTTACCATAATTGGACCTGCTGCTTCTTCTTTGGTGTGGTTGAGTGCCTTTAGTTAATTTTAGTTGTATATATTATTATTATTGTGTATTTGTTTATTTAATATTGTATTTTTTGACTTTTTGCACGGGAGTTGCAATAGAAATTTCGTTGAATCCTGTTCAATGACAATAAATGCTATTCTATTCTATTCTATTCTATTCTATAAACTAACTAAACCATAAACAAGCTTTCAACCAAGCTTGTCATATGAAAGTGATTTTAATTTAATCACTTTCATATTGAAACAAACAGATTTGGAAAACTGTTTTCTTTGCCTGATTTTGTTATTTTGTAGTTTTATTTAATGAATTATTTTGATCTTTAACAAATCTTCCTCATCAGTTAGAATGTTGGTCTGTCTGAAGATGGAACCATTAATGATTCAATGGGGGTTTTCAGTATTGATTGGTTTTATGATTTATTGATCAAACTTAAGGAGCCATTTTACAGTTTGACCTACTTATAGAAACTGGGATGGATTTGATCAGAGAGCAGAATCTCCTGGAAATGTTTCTACATTTCCTCTCTGGTTTGACTCTGATGTCATTCAAGCAGTTTAGTCTCTGTTGTTTGAAGCTCAGTAACCGAAGAGGAATCGCCTGTTTCTGACTATCAGAAGGTAAAGAGATCAGCATGAAAACATTAAAGAACCTGTTTGAAGCTAAATGCTCAGTTTGCAATCAGAGAGCAATGATCGTGTTGCTCTTTGCCAGCATGGATGGAGGAGGAGACACTGAATATTTTACTGCAACAACTTTTATTTTCATTTTAAAACTTTCTTCTTCTCTGATTTTATTTTTGGTTTACATTTAAAGTAAATACCTGTCCAGGTGAGCCAGACCCTCACTCAGCATGTCAGCTGGAGAGACACCAGAACCTCCCGACATTTTCACCTCCAGAGTCTGAAACAGAAAAACAGAAGCAAACAACATGAAATGTGTTCATTTGAGTTTCCCAGACACTGGAGGCCCTGAAACAGTTTGATGAAAGGAAAATATATTTTAATTAAAGCAAGAAACTATTTTATCAGAAAATGTTGATTTACTGTACAGTTTTTCTAAAGCCGCGTGTTCACTGGAAATCCTCTAGAGGGCGCCACATCTCTGCCTCCAGACTGGAATTCCAACAGGAAGTCTTGGAAAAATAAACAGGAAACAGTTGAGAGAGAAACTGCATGAGTAAACACCCTGAGAATGAACTTTGACACCTGCCTTCGTCTCCGACTGAAATCAAACTGAACAAGGAGAACAGAGAGAGAAGTGAGCAACTAGACACTGGAACACAGACTGCTGCAGGAGGAACAACAAGCAGATCAAAGTCAAAGTAAGTTCAGAAAGTTTCTACAGGAGAGAAACTGACTTCCTGGTTTGACGTTCTGTCTGCTGTGGTTTCAGCTTCACTCTGAGACAAAATAGCTTCCAGATCAGACGATCTCTGCTGTCCGGTCTGTCTGGAGATATTTAAGGATCCGGTTCTTCTGTCATGCAGCCACAGCTTCTGTAAGGAGTGTCTGCAGAAATACTGGAGAGAGAAACCAGGAAGAGAGTGTCCAGTTTGTAAAAGGAGATCTTCTAAAGATCTTCCACCTTTTAATCTGGCTCTGAAGAATCTGTGTGAGAGTTTCTTACAGCAGAGAGAGCAGAGAGCTTCAGAGGATCTCTGCAGTCTGCACTCTGAGAAACTCAAACTCTTCTGTCTGGACCATCAGCAGCCAGTGTGTCTCGTCTGCAGAGATTCAGAAAAACACACCAACCACAGATTCAGACCCATTGATGAAGCTGCTCAGCAACACAAGAAGAAGCTTCAGGAAACTCTGAAACCTTTAAAGAAGAAGCTGAAGCTCAGGAAGAAAGTTCAGGAGGAGTTTGATCAGACAGCAGAACACATGAAGGTCCAGGCCCGACACACAGAGAGGCAGATTAGGGAGCAGTTTAAGCAGCTTCATCAGTTTCTAGCAGAGGAAGAGGAGGCCAGGCTGGCTGCACTGAGGGAGGAAGAGGAGCAGAAGAGAGGGATGATGGAGGAGAAGATGGAGGCTCTGAGCAGAGAGATAGCAGCTCTTTCAGACACAGTCAGAGCCACAGAGGAGGAGCTGAGAGCTGAAGACGTCTCATTCCTGCACAACTACAAGGCTGCAGTGGAAAGAGTCCAGCGCTGCCCCCTGCTGGAGGATCCACAGCTGCCCTCAGGAGCTCTGATAGACCAGGCCAAACATCTGGGCAACCTGGCCTTCAACATCTGGAGCAACATGCAGACCATGGTGACCTACACTCCTCTGGTTCTGGACCCAAACACGGCTGGGTCATTCCTCCATCTGTCTGAAGATCTGACCAGTTTGACTAGAGGAGAGAAACAGCAGCTTCCTGATAATCCAGAGAGATTTGATAAATATTACTGTTCTGTTCTGAGTTCTGATGGTTTTAACTCAGGGAACCACATCTGGGATGTTGATGTTGGACACAGTGATGCCTGGAGACTCGGTGTGATAGAAGAATCTGTTGAGAGGAAAGGAAGCATAAAGTCTGGATGGTTGTTCATATGGTTCAAGGAAGGTAAATACTCAGCATGTTCTCCACCAGCTCCTTCCACTTTTCTCTCAGTCCAGAAGAATCTCCAGAGGATCAGAGTGAATCTGGACTGGGACAGAGGAAAGCTGTCCTTCTCTGATCTGGATACTAACACACACATACACACCTTCACACACACCTTCACTCACAAGATGTTTCCATTCTTCTCCACTAATAAAACCTTAAAGATGGAACCGATGAAGATCTCAGTGATCAAGCAGCAGCTCTGATGATCCAAATCAAAACTTATTGATCAGATTGAAACTGTGAGTTTTAAAGAGGAAACTGGAGATGATCTGATCATCTGGAGACTCTTCATCTCTTCGTCTTTTCAGATTCAGATTCATCACCAGGGCAGCATTAGTCTTCCATATCTGACTCTTTAGTCTGAGTTCAGCTCTGATTCTAAAATGACTCAGAGTGAGAGGTCTCGTTTTTTTGCCCGTCTCTGGGTGATTATTTCTGTTTTTCAGGAAGTGATGTATTAAAAATGTGGATTTTATTGAATATGTGAGCAAAAATGATTCCAGCAATGTGTTTAGTTTAAAAACTAGATAATTCATTTTAAAAATAAATATTTGTTATCCAGACTAAATATCTACTTTTGAATTAAATATTTAGTTTGTAACTCTGATATTTGTAAATGTCTGAATAACATGGTGAAAATATGACTTAGCTATTGTCAATAAAAATCCGAGATCATCCCACTTCCCCATGCTGGAGATTTTAGTTAACAGTAACAACAAATAAAGTTATCTTTAAAATAAGTCACACCAATCACATCTAGATCCAACAGTAGGCCCAGACTGCAATAAAATAAATCTGGTTGTGTGTGTTGTTTTTGTCTCCTGCAAACTTAGCTTTAATTATACTTATTTTTATATCTAATCATAAGAAATCATAGAAAGAGAGAGAGATGAGACAGGAAAAGCAGCTTTCATGGAAAAAGAGGAAGTAAGTTTCCAGCTTGCAGCTGTATAAAAATAGCTGAGACTATTCCTTGTTTAAAAGCATAAAAGTTTCAAAGGATAAAATCTAAACATTTTGAGTAATTAGATAAGATTTAAAGTAAAGTACTTATATTAATATTGGTTTACTTATAACAATACTTACTGACACTTGTGGAAAAACGTACAAGTAAAACAAGTAACTAACTTTGGTATCAAATAATAAAAGAGTAATAAGTTGTGGTTATCATAAAATTATAAATGAATGCTAAATCAAAGAAACTAATAGGTTTATGAATGTGATTTTAACATTGAACTTGAAATGGTGTAAAACATGTATCTGCTATTAAAGATCACTGATGATGTGTTGGAGGTAGATAGTAGGTGAAAGGTCAGGGGTCAAATGGGGACAAACAGGAAAGCAGAGACAACCAAGACCTTATTAGGAGATAGCTTGTTGAACAACTTAAACGTGTCAGAGACATGGGAGGAAGATTGAGCAACCCTGAGACATTAGCCAAGACATCAGGACAAAATGTCTCAAAGACAGTGATGGATATGAGTTTATCTGTCCAAACAAGTTACCCAATAAAGCACAGCAACAGTGTTAGCCAATGAAAATGCACCGAAAGAGGGTATAAACCCTATATAAGGGGAGAGCAAAAGAGGAATCTTTGGTTGGATCCTCCAGGCAGCTTCTAGTCAAGACCGAGACGGACAAAGAACTCTGCAGCTGAAGAAGAGCCGGGGCCACAGGGACGAAGACTGTCCTGCACATGGGGACCAACCCATCAGCCCCGCAACATGTGGCTTCAAATCGGACTTCTCTCATCGGCTGGGTTCAGACCCCAAAGACAAAGATGAAGACCAAGATGAAGATCAAGGCAAAGATGAAGATCAAGGAAAAGATCAAGGCAAAGATGAAGATCAAGGCAAAGATGAAGACCAAGGCAAAGATGAAGATCAAGGCAAAGACAAAGACCCAAGTCCTGTGTGACCTCATCATCCATGCAGAGATGACAGCTCATCAGACCAACAGAGATCCCTGCCTTCATCAATCAACCTCCTCTTCCTCCTGCTACAACACCTTCTTCATCATCGATCCAGTTCTGGGGTTCGAGACACCAAACTCCGTCCGTCTCTCTAAAGGTTCCCTTTTTAGTTAGTATCAGCGTTAGGGAAAGACAGGCTAGATGATTGATTTTACTTATTTGATTATTTCTGCTACTTAATTAAGCTGTACTGACCCTTGCAAAATTGCTTTACTAATAAATATTTAGCATAAAGAAAATCTAAAAGATGTTGTGGACATTCAATTAATAAGTCACCTCAAAGTTCTTTGATGGTAGTAAAATAGCTGTGATGTTTGATTCTGGGAAGAAAACTAGGTCATGTTTTATAGGTTGCTTTAGCCCAAATTTAAAACAACATCCTTGGGACTCGCCCGAGTCACTAAAACCAACCTGATTCAGTAACAAGTGCAAGTTGCAAAAAAGAGAAGGAGCGACCGTTAACAGATGTGCTCTGTGGAACTAGTTGGCTGTATGTTGCTCAGTCTGGCTAATTCACAGGGGGAAGAAGGGTGAGACATCTGGATGTAGGCCGTTAGTAGTCAGGCGAATCCTTTCTAGAAACCAGATTGAACAGAGTTTACTTCAGTTCTGGATAGGGTAAATCCCAGCAGATTTAGGAAACTCAATTTACCCGTTAGATGGAGAGCTGGTAGCACATCTCCCCTCTCAGAAGAGGAAGTAGTGACTGAGAGAGTAGAGAGTGAAGGGGTGGGTGGGCGGGGATGTAGCGGTAACAACACTATTTAATAAATATTGCTATTATTATTTTTGTTCTGTGTATTTTTACAAATGGGACTCCATAAATCTATAAGTTGTTAATTATTTATTATTTAGTTTTATTTTGGATGATTTTAATGCTTCCTGGTTTAGAGCAGGAGATCAAAACTGTTGGCAACATTATCAGCTTTACAATAAAATATAAAACCATTAAAAACAATAATTTGTTCAGATTCAAGTTCTGCATTATGACATTTAAAATATAATCAGACAGTCGGATGAACATTTTATTAGAAATATTTCATACATTATCCAGAAAACCAAATATGGCTTTGATTGATGTATTTGTGTTGCAGAACATATTGCAGGAAATGAGAGGCAGAAAAAACACAAGGAGGAAAATTCAGAATCAGTTTTACAGTTAAAACAGAAAATCTGAGGAAAATGAAAGAAAAACAGATGAAAGGAAGAACAAGAAGACGGTTTAATGAAAGTCAAACGAATGAAGGAGAAAAAAGAAAAGAGGAAAGAGAGAAAACAAGGCTGAGATTCAGACAAACAGGATTTAACTAGACACTTTAAAATTCAAAAGTATGAAAGTTCAAAATATGAAACGACAGCATGTTCAATTAAAATGTCATAAATATAAAAACCAGGGAAGATACATGAAGAGTCTGAAAGAACTGAGAAAAATATTAATTTATTAAATATTTTGAGGAGGAATTTGTGTATTAAACATTTACAAACATTTATTAGATTTAAAAGAAAATTGTTTCATAGAATTTGATTGGATGTGAAGCGAGTTTGTTAATGTGTTTCTGATAAATAGATGATCGTGTAAAAATGTTTATATTTATCTGTATGAATATTAAATTACATATATAGGAAATATTTATATATGTAGAAACACATAGTATGAAGTAGACCGGCAGGAACCGCACTCCACACCAGCAGGGGGCGCTAATGCTGCTGAACGCTGGTTACCAACCGCCAATAAAACCAAGAAGAAGAAACGGAAACAGTAGAAGAAGAAAAGTGAATCCGGGAAGAACAGGAAACAGTTGGAAGAGAGAAACCTCGTGGGAAGATTTTCATCTGGGACTGAAATCAAACTAAACGGAGAACAGAGAGAACTGGGCACTGGAACACAGACTGCTGCAGGAGGAGCAACACGCAGAGCAAAGTAAGTTCAGAAAGTTTCTGCAGGACAGAAAGTGACTTCTGGTTTCACCTTCAGTGAACAAAGAACAGCAGGTAGAAACTAAAGACAAACAGAAACAATGGTTTCTGCTTCTGCTCACAGATTCAGGCGTTTCAGATCTAATGAACTTTAACTGAGTTCAAACAATCAACCTCTGCATTTACAGCAGCATTTAATATTTAACTAGCAAGAAAACAATATTTACCATGTCAGATATTTGACTATCAACGTATATAATGTGTGTGATGTTCATCTCTGGGATGATTCAAGTTTAAAGTGAGATGATTAATCTGTAATCTCCACATTCACAAAAGGCTCAACATGTTGAATCAAATTTAAATCTTTTGTGCATAAAATTCATCCCTGGTTTGACTTTCTGTCTGCTGTGGTTTCAGGTTCACTGAGACAAAATGGCTTCCAGATCAGAAGCTCATCTCTGCTGTCCGATCTGTCTGGAGATATTTAAGGATCCGGTTCTTCTGTCATGCAGCCACAGCTTCTGTAAGGAGTGTCTGCAGAAACACTGGAGAAGAGGAACTGGTCGCTCATGTCCAGTTTGTCGGAAAAGATCAGCATCAGATGCTCCACCCTGTAATCTGGCTCTGAAGAATCTGTGTGAGAGTTTCTTACAGCAGAGAGAGCAGAGAGCTTCAGAGGATCTCTGCAGTCTGCACTCTGAGAAACTCAAACTCTTCTGTCTGGACCATCAGCAGCCAGTGTGTCTCGTCTGCAGAGATTCAGAAAAACACACCAATCACAGATTCAGACCCATTGATGAAGCTGCTCAGCAACACAAGAAGAAGCTTCAGGAAACTCTGAAACCTTTAAAGAAGAAGCTGGAGCTCAGGAAGAAAGTTCAGGAGGAGTTTGATCAGACAGCAGAACACATGAAGGTCCAGGCCCGACACACAGAGAGGCAGATTAGGGAGCAGTTTAAGCAGCTTCATCAGTTTCTAGCAGAGGAAGAGGAGGCCAGGCTGGCTGCACTGAGGGAGGAAGAGGAGCAGAAGAGAGGGATGATGGAGGAGAAGATGGAGGCTCTGAGCAGAGAGATAGCAGCTCTTTCAGACACAGTCAGAGCCACAGAGGAGGAGCTGAGAGCTGAAGACGTCTCATTCCTGCACAACTACAAGGCTGCAGTGGAAAGAGTCCAGCGCTGCCCCCTGCTGGAGGATCCACAGCTGCCCTCAGGAGCTCTGATAGACCAGGCCAAACATCTGGGCAACCTGGCCTTCAACATCTGGAGCAACATGCAGACCATGGTGACCTACACTCCTCTGGTTCTGGACCCAAACACGGCTGGGTCATTCCTCCATCTGTCTGAAGATCTGACCAGTTTGACTAGAGGAGAGAAACAGCAGCTTCCTGATAATCCAGAGAGATTTGATAAATATTACTGTTCTGTTCTGAGTTCTGATGGTTTTAACTCAGGGAACCACAGCTGGGATGTTGATGTTGGACACAGTGATGCCTGGAGACTCGGTGTGATAGAAGAATCTGTTGAGAGGAAAGAAGGCATAATGTCTGGATTGTTGGTTATATGGTTCTATCAAGATGAATATTATGCACGTTCTCCACCAGCTCCTGCCACTTTTCTCTCAGTCCAGAAGAATCTCCAGAGGATCAGAGTGAATCTGGACTGGGACAGAGGAAAGCTGTCCTTCTCTGATCTGGATACTAACACACACATACACACCTTCACACACACCTTGACTCACAAGATGTTTCCATACTTCGACAGTATTGAAAAAACCTTGAAGATCGAACCGATGAAGATCTCAGTGATCAAGCAGCTGCATTAACCTTCATGTCTGACTCTTTAGTCTGAGTTCAGCTCTGATTCTAAAATGACTCAGAGTGAGAGGTCTCGTTTTTTTGCCCGTCTCTGGGTGATTATTTCTGTTTTTCAGGAAGTGATTGATGTATTAAAAAAATGTGAATTTTTTGCAATATGTGAGCAATTCTGATCTCATCAATGTGTTTAGTTTGCAAACTAAATAGTTAATTTTAGAAGTAAATATTTCTTGTCAAAGATAAATATTTACCCTTGAATTAAATATTTAGTTAGTAACTGATATTTATAAATGCATGAATAACATGGTGAAAATATGACTTGGAAATATGACTACAGCCGGTAGTTTAAAAACCACTGAGCTGCTTGAAGATCTGCTGCTGTTGCATCAACCTGCTGCTTCAGGTCTCCTGGTTCAGGTTCTGCATTCAGAACCAGAAATAAACACTAAAACTGTTTTAAACCAATTTCAGTCAAAACCGAAGTAAAAATTTTACAAAACACAGTTTTAATAAAACCCTTTTAAAAAACCTTCAGTTTTATTAAAACTGAAAACAAACAGGAAGAAACTGAAGTTCAGATGGAAGATTTAAACACTGCAGTACTTTCTGTCACCGCTTGGTGTCACTGGATCACCATGTTTGTTTTTTCCTGCTTCTTCATTTAATGAAGCAGATTAAGATTTGATTGGCCTGATTATCTACACAGAGACAGTCAAACTGTGGTTTATTATTTTAATATTCTCAAAATATTTGTATTGTTTGGTTTTTATTAAACACAAAACTGAAGAACAGATCGATTTGTTTCAGCCTCATCTTTTTCTGATCAGGTTTTATTTTCCTGGTTCCGGTTCTTAAATATGTATCTAATAATTAAATACTGTTCATAATGACAGAATTAAAAATACAAATGTAAACAGAGTAAAAATTAAAAGTGGAAAGAGGCATTTAATATTAGAATGGTTGTATTGGTGTCTGAATCACAAACACTCAAATACATCAATAATGTTAATGCTACTAACTGTTACAATGATTTTAACAAGATTTGCTTTAAATAATCCACAATTTCACAGACAAAACTTCCAGTTTTTAAATTCTTTATCATCCATGTCAGAAAGTTAAACTCCAAAATGTTATATTTCAAAGGAATTAACTAAAAGAATAAAGAAATAGAACAATAAGTGAAGCTTTTGAATGTTTTTATGGGTAAATTTAACATTAAAACTTTGTAGTGTATAAAACATTCATTCTGGACATTTTGGGACAACTGCAAACATTTTTCATCTAAATATTTATTAATTAGAAGAGAAACTTGGGTTGTTATTTTGGGAATGTTCTGTTAAAGTTAAAACTTTAACAGAAACACATTAAATTCAGTTGAAATCCAGGAATGGCCACCAGGGGGCAGAGCAGTTCACCAAGCTTCTTCGATTCCAACAGGGTTGTTCAAAGTGGGGGTGATGTATTTGTGTTGCAGAACATATTGCAGGAAATGAGAGGCAGAAAAAACACAAGGAGGAAAATTCAGAATCAGTTTTACAGTTAAAACAGAAAATCTGAGGAAAATGAAAGAAAAACAGATGAAAGGAAGAACAAGAAGACGGTTTAATGAAAGTCAAACGATTGAAGGAGAAAAGAGGAAAGAGAGAAAACAAGGCTGAGATTCAGACAAACAGGATTTAACTAGACACTTTAAAATTCAAAAGTATGAAAGTTCAAAATATGAAACGACAGCATGTTCAATTAAAATGTCATAAATATAAAAACCAGGGAAGATACATGAAGAGAGTCTGAAAGAACTGAGAAAAATATTAATTTATTAAATATTTTGAGGAGGAATTTGTGTATTAAACATTTACAAACATTTATTAGATTTAAAAGAAAATTGTTTCATAGAATTTGATTGGATGTGAAACGAGTTTGTTAATGTGTTTCTGATAAATAGATGATCGTGTAAAAATGTTTATACTAGTATATTTATCTGTATGAATATTAAATTACATATATAGGAAATATTTATATATGTAGAAACACATAGTATGAAGTAGACCGGCAGGAACCGCACTCCACACCAGCAGGGGGCGCTAATGCTGCTGAACGCTGGTTACCAACCGCCAATAAAACCAAGAAGAAGAAACGGAAACAGTAGAAGAAGAAAAGTGAATCCGGGAAGAACAGGAAACGGTTGGGAGAGAGAAACCTCGTGGAACGATTTTCATCTGGGACTGAAATCAAACTAAACGGAGAACAGAGAGAACTGGGCACTGGAACACAGACTGCTGCAGGAGGAGCAACACGCAGAGCAAAGTAAGTTCAGAAAGTTTCTGCAGGACAGAAAGTGACTTCTGGTTTCACCTTCAGTGAACAAAGAACAGCAGGTAGAAACTAAAGACAAACAGAAACAATGGTTTCTGCTTCTGCTCACAGATTCAGGCGTTTCAGATCTAATGAACTTTAACTGAGTTCAAACAATCAACCTCTGCATTTACAGCAGCATTTAATATTTAACTAGCAAGAAAACAATATTTACCATGTCAGATATTTGACTATCAACGTATATAATGTGTGTGATGTTCATCTCTGGGATGATTCAAGTTTAAAGTGAGATGATTAATCTGTAATCTCCACATTCACAAAAGGCTCAACATGTTGAATCAAATTTAAATCTTTTGTGCATAAAATTCATCCCTGGTTTGACTTTCTGTCTGCTGTGGTTTCAGGTTCAGAGACAAAATGGCTTCCAGATCAGAAGATCATCTCTGCTGTCCGATCTGTCTGGAGATATTTAAGGATCCGGTTCTTCTGTCATGCAGCCACAGCTTCTGTAAGGAGTGTCTGCAGAAACACTGGAGAAGAGGAACTGGTCGCTCATGTCCAGTTTGTCGGAAAAGATCAGCATCAGATGCTCCACCCTGTAATCTGGCTCTGAAGAATCTGTGTGAGAGTTTCTTACAGCAGAGAGAGCAGAGAGCTTCAGAGGATCTCTGCAGTCTGCACTCTGAGAAACTCAAACTCTTCTGTCTGGACCATCAGCAGCCAGTGTGTCTCGTCTGCAGAGATTCAGAAAAACACACCAATCACAGATTCAGACCCATTGATGAAGCTGCTCAGCAACACAAGAAGAAGCTTCAGGAAACTCTGAAACCTTTAAAGAAGAAGCTGAAGCTCAGGAAGAAAGTTCAGGAGGAGTTTGATCAGACAGCAGAACACATGAAGGTCCAGGCCCGACACACAGAGAGGCAGATTAGGGAGCAGTTTAAGCAGCTTCATCAGTTTCTAGCAGAGGAAGAGGAGGCCAGGCTGGCTGCACTGAGGGAGGAAGAGGAGCAGAAGAGAGGGATGATGGAGGAGAAGATGGAGGCTCTGAGCAGAGAGATAGCAGCTCTTTCAGACACAGTCAGAGCCACAGAGGAGGAGCTGAGAGCTGAAGACGTCTCATTCCTGCACAACTACAAGGCTGCAGTGGAAAGAGTCCAGCGCTGCCCCCTGCTGGAGGATCCACAGCTGCCCTCAGGAGCTCTGATAGACCAGGCCAAACATCTGGGCAACCTGGCCTTCAACATCTGGAGCAACATGCAGACCATGGTGACCTACACTCCTCTGGTTCTGGACCCAAACACGGCTGGGTCATTCCTCCATCTGTCTGAAGATCTGACCAGTTTGACTAGAGGAGAGAAACAGCAGCTTCCTGATAATCCAGAGAGATTTGATAAATATTACTGTTCTGTTCTGAGTTCTGATGGTTTTAACTCAGGGAACCACAGCTGGGATGTTGATTTGGACACAGTGATGCCTGGAGACTCGGTGTGATAGAAGAATCTGTTGAGAGGAAAGAAGGCATAATGTCTGGATTGTTGGTTATATGGTTCTATCAAGATGAATATTATGCACGTTCTCCACCAGCTCCTGCCACTTTTCTCTCAGTCCAGAAGAATCTCCAGAGGATCAAGTGAATCTGGACTGGGACAGAGGAAAGCTGTCCTTCTCTGATCTGGATACTAACACACACATACACACCTTCACACACACCTTCACTCACAAGATGTTTCCATACTTCGACAGTATTGAAAAACCTTGAAGATCGAACCGATGAAGATCTCAGTGATCAAGCAGCTGCATTAACCTTCATGTCTGACTCTTTAGTCTGAGTTCAGCTCTGATTCTAAAATGACTCAGAGTGAGAGGTCTCGTTTTTTTGCCCGTCTCTGGGTTTTTCAGGAAGTGATGTATTAAAAGAAATGTGAATTTTTTGCAATATGTGAGCAATTCTGATCTCATCAATGTGTTTAGTTTGCAAACTAAATAGTTAATTTTAGAAGTAAATATTTCTTGTCAAAGATAAATATTTACCCTTGAATTAAATATTTAGTTAGTAACTGATATTTATAAATGCATGAATAACATGGTGAAAATATGACTTGGAAATATGACTACAGCCGGTAGTTTAAAAACCACTGAGCTGCTTGAAGATCTGCTGCTGTTGCATCAACCTGCTGCCTTCAGGTCTCCTGGTTCAGGTTCTGCATTCAGAACCAGAAATAAACTCTAAAACTGTTTTAAACCAATTTCAGTCAAAACCGAGTAAAAATTTTACAAAACACAGTTTTAATAAAACCCTTTTAAAAAACCTTCAGTTTTATTAAAACTGAAAACAAACAGGAAGAAACTGAAGTTCAGATGGAAGATTTAAACACTGCAGTACTTTCTGTCACCGCTTGGTGTCACTGGATCACCATGTTTGTTTTTTCCTGCTTCTTCATTTAATGAAGCAGATTAAGATTAAGATTGGCCTGATTATCTACACAGAGACAGTCAAACTGTGGTTTATTATTTTAATATTCTCAAAATTTGTATTGTTTGGTTTTTATTAAACAAAACTGAAGAACAGATCGATTTGTTTGAGCCTCATCTATTTCTGATCAGGTTTTATTTTCCTGGTTCCAGTTCTTAAATATGTATCTAATAATTAAATACTGTTCATAATGACAGAATTAAAAATAAAAATGTAAACAGAGTAAAAATTAAAAGTGGAAAGAGGCATTTAATATTAGAATGGTTGTATTGGTGTCTGAA